TTTAACCTAAAAAATTACTAACTTCTATTTTCTACCTCCCATCTTTGACTCATCTAACTCACACTAGGCCAGCTTTAGTATTTTCTGTTGGTGTTGTTTACAAGTTTATACACTCTCCTACAAAGTATCATTGTGGAGCAGCAAAGAAAATTATGCGGTGTATTACTGGAACAACTGAATACGGGATTTGGTATTTAAAGAATCCAGAATGTAAGTTATTTGGGCACACAGATAGTAATTGGGGAGGCTGCTTATATGATCGAAAAAATGCATCAGGCAATATGTTTTCTCTTGGATTTGGAGCTATTTCATGGAGTTTAAAGAAGCAGACAACTATAACTCTTTTCTTTATAGAGGTAGAATATATGGCTGCTACTTCCACTGCATGTAAAGCGATTTGGTCAAGGAGATTACTTGTAGATTTTGATCAAGAATAGAAGAGTGTAACAGAAATTTTCTACAATAATAATGTTGTAATTGCAATGGCCAAGAACCCAGCTATAACGGTTCCGAAAATTAAAAAAGAAATGTATATAATAATTTGAGTGCGGAATCGAAATAAAGGTTAAGGTTAACATCTCTTACACGATAACCTAAAAGTACTAAACAAACATCACAGAATAAATTCTCTGAAAGAAATACGTTAAATAGAAAAAATAAAGGGAACTATAAAGCATCTAGCATCTACTCACAGCTTTCTTGCGGATCGGGCTCGGGAACTAGGTCCTCTTGATCTGAAATGGTTAAATAAGGAGTGAACTACACTAGCCTAGTAAGGACATCACACTATGTCACCGACACAGAAGTAAAGATTGGTAGAAAATAAAAAACAACCAATGGAGCACTAGATTTAAATAAATTCGTTTATCATAAATAAAACCATTTACAGTTCACTTACCATTATGGAATTTATGAAAACAATCTATAAAGACAATAACATCATGCAGATCATAACTTCATGCACAATCAGTGACATAAAACATATCATAAATTCTTATTCATTGACAATAACTAATCATCATCGTTTCTCGTTTCATCAGCCTACTAGTATCCATGGGGATCCATAGGGGTGTCTCCACTACACATGAACCCTTTTCCTTAACAAGCTTAATTCCAGGGCCGTCCCCATACCCTATCCGGTATGAGTGTCAAGACATTAAACCTCAATACTCCGTCCGATATGAGGGTGAAGTGGACCGTCCCCATACCCCGTCCGGTATGAGCGCCAAATGATCAAGTCTCTATACCCCGTCCACTATGAGACAATGTTCACGGTAGGATTCCCTATGAACCCAGTCCGTCCACTATCTCTCAGGATATCTAGTGAGGCTATCACCTTATCTGTTTATTAGATCACATCCCTTTCTTGTTTATCCTTAATCTCCGTTACCAAATTAAAAACAATCACATAAATAATGAACATACACCCGATAATACAATCATATCTTAAATTCCAAAATCACATATTGGTCCAGTAAGACAGTAATACATGCATTTAAAACCCTAAAGCAGATATCATCATGCCTTTAAACTGTAAAATAAATCAACAGGAATCAACAAAGAATAATGTCCGATTTTGGGCTCCATTAGTAATCCGTAATTTAAAAGAAAGCTATTCCTAACTCTAAATTTTTTTTTAAGATTTCCAAGTCTATCTATAAGCTCTAATATAAAGGTTTTCTAAGAATCTACTCTGATACCAATTCTAAAATCTCAGATGCCTGATGGGGTAGAAGGGTGACTAATAGTAGAAATAGATACGAGTGCAATAATAAAATATATGTAACATAAACTATAAATCCTACACAACCAAAATATAGGATAAGTTTTTGTACAACCAATAAAGGTTCATTGAATAGATATGCACAAAAGTTACTTATTTACAAAAATATTTTTCATCAGAGCATGAACAAAATAAGCACTCGTAAATACTCTAGGGATCTGAGGAAGGATTGAGGTAAGCTTCGAGGGGCAACACTGTATGCGATTCATCACTATCATTATTTGAGAGGTTTCGACATAGAAAAAGTGAGTTTCATGAAATTCAATAAGGAAAATAGTATTTAAATAACATTGTTAAGGTTTAAAGAGTTAATAACCTTAAAATGAACCTTCTTACCCAATGAATGACATACCTTGGAGATCTGTCACGAAGTGAGGTGGACTTAGATATTTAAAAAAATATTTATTCTTCAGGTAAAATTCTTTTTTAAAAAATAAAATAGGGCAATAATCAATAGAGATAGACAAAATCATGTTTTCAGTCAAAAAACTAACCCAAACAACAATGCATATTGATGAAGAAACACAACATAAGAAATAATCGCATGTTTATATTTTTTACCATTCTTCGCACGAAACCATTCCGGCATATATCTGATAAAGGCAGAGGGGATTCCCAACTACCACTGTGAATGACATCATTTCATTTCATATCAGCAAGTTACGGTGTGCCAAGCCTCAGCACGTTACATTGTGTCATAACATTATAAGGGTGAGATCTATGACCATGGTTGTACATCGTTATTGTGGCCCCTACCTATGGCTTTATGAATCTGCTCTCGTTAGGGAGCACACTCATCATCACAGGGAGTGTTTCACCAATAAATTCAAATTCAGAAATAGAAATGTAACAGAAGCAGAAACAAAAACCCCTCAGAGATAACAACCGAATAAATTTTTAATCCTTTTTCTTTGTATCAATCTACAATCCACATACACCGAACTCATAGGTTCTTTCTACTTACCTCGGTATAAGGTCCATTGTAACACGATTTAGAAAAATACAAAACAGATTAACATAAAGTAATACGACAGTACATCAGTCATATTTAGTGTCACATGCTTTCACGGTCAAGTAAAATAGCAAATAATATCATGCATCATAACTACTCAGTTAATCTGAAAAGAGCACTAAGAGGTGTAAGAGAAATACAAGATCTCTTACCGATATTTAGTGGGCAACCGAATTTCTAGAAGTGTGTTGAAAGGGTACTTTGCATCTAAGACTCCCTTGGTGACTCCTATGGTTTTGTTCCTCATTTTCTCTTTCTAGAACTTTACTTTCTCTCCCTATACTTTTACTTTCTCTCTCTAAAGTTTCACTTTCTCTCTCTAAAAAATGAATGTAGGAAGAAGAATAAATGGAAGTGGATGAAAAGTGAGGGAGAATGGCCATATTTATAGAGTTGGAGGGTCCTTGGATGTATGCCACGTGGCATAAATTTGACTGTCCAGGTAGAAGAAAGGAAGAGGCTGCTAATGGTGGGACGCTCATAGTGGGGGAGGCTATGTCCTATCGGTGTGCAGGGCACGGGCGCGCTGGGCACGCAAGTGTTGGCATGCGTGCCTGTGCGCACACAATGTTGTGCTCGTGCGCTTCTTTATGCGCATGTGCAAATGCATAGGCACACCTAACTCACAACGTGTGTTCGAGGATTTTTCCCCCGTCTTCCATTTTTTGATTTTTCACTATTTTTCTCTCTTTTTTTCCTGAAAAATACTTTAAAAATATGTACATATATTTAAAAATATCTAAATCATATGTTCGTTTAAAAGTAGGCTTTTATAAAAATATACGTAAAAATATTAAATAAAAACTTAAATGGCCTTTAGGCCTAAATAGAAATTTCAACACCAAGTTTAAGCACAGAGACCTTGTGGTATTACATTTATAGTGGACCCACCAGTGTCCAGGTTAGGTTTTACTGGCATAACAGGCTGAGGACATGTTCAATAGGCCTTATCAGGTTAGAAAATAATAAAAAAGCATATTAATGGGCCCAATGGGCTGGACAGTAGGAAATTACCACGTTATATGTAAAGGTACAACATATTTGGGATTTATTTTAGGGTCAGTCACTAATTTTAATATAAGTGTAAATTAACAAAGAAAGTACTAAATTCGTTTAACTGTTATCACGAAGGGGTCTATGTTATCTATCTGTTTATCGACTATTAGTGTATCACTCCCTGTGAATGGGTACTGTATTGGTCTTTCCTCTTATGAAAGTGAATCGCGGCATACTGTATGGGCCACAGTGGTGAAGTTATATTGTGATCATATAACTTCAAAATTATTATCTTCTAAATTGAACTTTTATCCCCATTCACAGTAGCAGTTGAGGATCCCTTCTGTCTTCACTGATATAGGTCTAAACGACTTCATGCAAATGTTTGTAAATAGTGGAAACCCAATCGAGTCAAAATAATTAGAATAGTCAATATTGTCCATTAGTCCTGTCATTAATTAAATTATAAATTGCTCTAAATGATTGTTTGCTATACATTTGATCATGCAGTTAAGGATAGATCAAAGGTTGTTATTTTAAAGAAAATTAAGTTAAGATTTTACTATGAAGTTTTTAGCAGTCACTAACATGCAACTATGATGTTTAATTGGTAAATGTATTTTCACAGTTTGCCTTAATGAACTTTTGAAACATTAATAGTATGGTTATAATGTTGTTTTTCCTTACTGAGTTTCATGGAACTCACCCTAATCGATCCATCCAGATGATGTTAAAGAAGATGATCTGCCTCTTAACCTGCCCCGCTGATGCTTGTCTGGATCCGTTCGTGAATTCTTAGATTATTGAGTGCAAAAATGCATCTTACTCTGGAAGACAAATATTTTATAATTGTAAAAGTAGCTTGAATGTTGTTTTGTATATTTATATCATGATAACTAACTTCAATGCCTCGGAAGTGTAATTATACAAATTTTTGTAAGAGACGAATGTAACTTCGCATTTTAATTTAGATTTATTTGCACTCATATATATTTTGTATTGGATACCACTTCCCATCGGGTAGTAGGATGTCACTTTCTATGTTGGAAATTTCAAATTTTAAATAAAAGAAGAATACTCAAGGAAAACATGAGGGATTCAACATCAACGAGGAGTCCAAGGTCACCAAACAATTGGCCAAGAAGAAGTCTTCCGAATCGATT